ACTCCTGCGGCGACTTGCTGCTGCTGTTGGTGCTGTTGGCCGTCGACGAGGCTTTGGTATTCTTGGCCAAACTCTTCTCCAGACGCCGCAGCTCCTTGGGCGGACTGTCGCCCTTCGGTCGCTTGGAACCGTAGCAGTCCGCCTCCAGGTGATCCTCCTGCATCCCGCTCTGGTACAGCTGGCACTGCTGCTGGTACTTGGCCAGCAGCTCGGTGGTCTTGTTGAGCGCCGTCTGCGAGAAGTTGAGCGGCTGGGGCAGCAGGCTGGGGTAGAACTGCAGGGACTTGAAGAGATTCTCCAGGGGCGTGGTGCCCATGCCTGTCGCCCCCACCGATCCCAGCTTGTTGGCCAGCAGGGGCGTGCTAAGCGCCGGACTGTGCAACTGGGGAAGGGACATGCTGGGAGTGGGCGTGTGGGAGGGCGTGATGGTGGGCGTGGCTGTGGGCGAGGGCGTACTGGGACGCTCAAAATCAGAGGACTTCTCGTTGGCCGCGTCCATGTAGGACCCTCCACTTCTCGCTGTCTTTGGTAGCTGTGGGAATTGGTCAGATCGAAAAAAAGTTATAGATTATAGGGGAAATATACTGATAAATATTCTTATAAGATCTATTTCGCTAGGATATTCAATTATATATATATAAGACTGTTGTTAAAATTTAAAGAATCAACGTCGAGTCCATAATAGTAAAGCTACAGCATTTATGTTTCTACCAGCTCTAGTAGCTCTAGTATATGATTTTCGTACTTATAATTTCTTTAACATTTCCAGGTTCTTAGGCACTCACATTGTTGTTCTGGACATCGGCCAGTCCCTTGATGCCCAGCGTCTCGGCCAGGTTGAGCAGCATGGGAATCTGCTCCTCGTAGACGTTCACCTCGCCGGAGTACATGAAGGTGAGCAGTGAGACGATGGCCCCGAAACTGGCTCCGGGTATGATGATCACGGGATGGTTACTCGCCTCCAGAGCCCGGAAGATGTCCATAAAGAAGCTGCTGCAGGCACTTAGGACCACGCGATGGGCCCTCAGCTGGCGGCCTTCGGCCGAGATGGTCACATCCGTGAGATGAGATTGGTCCAGCAGAATGGGCAGGGTGCTCAGCAGGCTGGTCTGGAAGGGAACCAAGATCAGGGGGATGAGTGAGAAGTGCCTATAAGTGGGTCACACGATCATAAAAATACAAATTTCCTGGTTCCCTGGCTGCAGCTGCTTTCCAAGTTTTATTTTTTTTTTTTCAATTTACCCTCAGTGGAAATTCTTTGGATTTTGGCAATTGCATGAATCTGTTCATTTAAGTGACACACACCATCCCGGGAACCCCCCTCCCTTCCACTTTTGCTATTTTGGACAGGCAGCCAGTGCCTTTGGGCACCGCCTTAGTAAACATCGAAAAACAAAAATTGTCACTATATGAAAATGCGGAAAACTATGTGTGAATGTACTACTTGCTTGGATAGATGGATCCTATATATAGACAGGGCGACAATTCGCTTGGCTGGCTGACTTCGCTGAACGATGTCCAGTCCAGTTTTATGGGTCTTACTTTTCTTATTAAGACCCCCTTAAGTATTTTATCATATATGTAAAAATTATTTAACCCCTTTTAAATATTATATCTTGTATGTAAAACTTTCATCTGGAGGATATACCCTGATGTTTGTGCCATTATAGACTAAACTGCTGCTTAGTATTAAACACCCATCAAATATTATATCATATATGTTAAGCCTATTTAACCCCCTTCAATATTATATCATATATGATATATATACATATATGGGTTTTCTCTGGAGGATCTCACCTGATGATTGTGCCATCTTAGACAGAACTGCTGCTGGTTGTCATTGCTTGGCAGCTGCTGATCAAAATGATGGTGCTGCGTTTGTCTGGCGTTAGAGCTATTTACATGTTCCATAATTCATCTGGGTTTTGGCTCACATGGACGAAGCTGCAAATGGAAAGCAGGGGGGAAATATGCAATTATTATTTTCATATGTCTAGAGAGGTAAACAAAATCCGGCCCACTTGGATTCTTTGTTGTCTTTTCCCATAATTTGTTTGTTTGCATTTTTGGTTTGTTTATTTATTGAGCGTTTTGTCACACACACTTTTCGTTTCGTTTCTTTTCGTTTTATTTGGCCGCACCACGAGGCGTATACGTATTATGTCGTAGCAGTTGGCTTATTACTCATACGCCCCGCAGTCCAAGGGGGGAAAATCTTGTTTGGGGACCGGGAAACGGAATAATTTGCTATAATGACAACTTGCTGCTCCAAGGTATCCTCTTGTACGATCTTGTTGACCAAGTCAACGGATTGGGGGGATGGGTTGGGGATTATTTACTCGGGCATTTCTGCGCTGAGTGCCCAGTTGACGAATCGGAATTACAATAAAAGCACACAATCACACATTCGTGTTCTATTCGCTGGCAATTAAACTAAATATATTTAAATAAAATAAGTTTTCCTTGGCTGGCCTGGCCTGGGCGTACTGATCGCAGTGTCGCTGTGGGTTTCTGGGTGCACTATAAATTTGGCAATTTCCATTGTTCGGATCGTAAATACATATGCGATGCACTGGGCGGGGGGGTGGGGGGTTTGATGGGTAGGTTGGGTGGTTGGGTTGCTTGGTTGGTTCACACTTTTGTCCGAGGGCTATTTATATGAGGCTAGACCAAGATTTTGGGGATTTCTCGGTCTATGCTGCACCGCCGACCATTGGAGGCCCCCCAAAAACAGCCCGGCCAATGCAAATCCGCAGCAAAGTGACAAGTCCGAGTCTTTTTTCTGATTTTTTTTGGTTTTTTTGTTGTGTTTTATTTGCATTTCAGCTAGCCCAGCGTGCAATTGTTGGACGACGGAATTTTCTTCATTCCATTATGTGTGCACATGGGGGGACTGAGAATCGCATCTAAGCATTTCTCTATTGAGAGACGATGGATGGTGTGGAGGTTGCCTTGCCTGATGGGGCACAATGGATGCCTGGGAATGGGTTGGGGGATAAGATGGGTGATGGGGTTGGAATAGGATGGGTATGGCGATGAGGATGGAGGGACAGAGGAGCCGTGCGGCGCGGCCTTTTTGGCGCTCGTTCACACAAGAAAGTGTTGTCGTGACAGTCAGGCAGCAGCCTTCTTCTTTTCCGTAACTCTTTGGTATTTCGCTCAGTTTTTACTTGATTTTCCGAAATTAGTTTTTCAGCCTTTCAGCTTCTTCGCCTTCGTCTTCGTCTTCTCCGTCCTCTGGCTGTTGTTTTAAATAGCCATCCAAAAAATAAAGATCTGTGCTAAACGCTCTCGCCAGGCTGTCTATTTTGATTTGTTGTCCAAGTGCCTTGCCTTTTGTCATCCATGGCAATACATTCCAAAGCACCTCGGAATCGTTTCCATTTCGATTTGGTCATGGCTAGTCCGTTGATGCGTAATATTTTACACATAATCACTCATACGCCTCGTTGGTACCAAATGATCTTAAAGCACTTTTGTTGTTGCCTAACTTTCATTTGTTCCATGAAATGTGGCGCACATAAATTTAATGTCAACGGTGTTTTTTCCGAGAGCTATATAGAGAATTCGCACGATCTGCGGTCTATATGCGGCTGTGAATCACGCATAATCCAGTGGCCCAGCATATCTGCCCCTGGGGCTGTCTAATAATAGAGCTCTGCGGCTAACCCTTATGGTTGAGGATCTCGGGACCACTTCTTTAATGCTAATGGAATACTCGTGCCGATCGTCAAATGATATTTTATGTAGTGTTTTTATGGCTCACTTTTATTTATCTATCGAAACCCCTTTTGATCTCTCGCACGATGTTACACAATTTACTTCAGTTAATCACTCTATGCTCTAGGTATTTCACTGGGTTCTCTTCTTCAAAAGTGGAATCCTTCACATTCTTGTTTTATTTTATTTATTTATTTTTTTTATTTTCCCGTCGACCGTTACGAATTTTCCCTTTTCGTGATTTTCGCGACGGGACGAGTGCGCACACCTTTGTTAACCGTTTGCTGCTCGCATCTGAAATGAAAAAATCCGAAAATGTTTCAATTCTTTCGGTTTAGTTGGAGATTTTCTATTTTTCGAATGTCCATCTCTTGACAATTTTCCTCTATCTCGTGTTGCTGTTGCTGTTGCTGCTGTTGTTGCTGCTGCTGGCCCAAATGTTGTTGCTACTGTTGCCATTTGTTTAGCGGATTCGAATTTGGCTCTCAGCATGTCGGGTGGATCCGTTTGTCGCCCGATTCCATGTTCTTTAATTAATGAGCAGACTGCCCCCGGCACTGCGAAGAGAAATTTGAAATCTCAGCGGTTTTGTACTCGCAAACTGCGGCCTCTTGGCCAAAAATTAATTGGCTGCCCCGCAGTTAGTTAATCAAAACATTTCCCAGTGGCAAATCATCAACGTAAGGGGCATCTTCAGCCAAACCACTAGACACAATTGACAAGACCTGCTTCGTGTGCATTATTAATTTGCAATAAAATGTGGAAGCGGCGACAGCAGTTGCAGCCGCTCGAAAATTGCCCTGCCGAAAATAAACTCATACCTGCACGTTGGATTTTGAATTATGCCTGACAAATACAAATGGAATCGCCAGATGGAGACGCCGTTGGTCATCGGGCACCCAGATCCCAGCACCCAGCACCCAGCACATAGCACCTTCATTAGGCACTTTTTCAATTCATTAAAATGCCACAAATACTTATTTATTATTGTCATCTGTGCTCACCTCGATTTGGGTTAGCAGCCTGGCAGCTTGGAGGCTGCAAATACCCCGAAATAAATAAACCCCTTCCTCAAAGATGGTTCCTTATATAAATCTATAATGGACTGGTTAGCAAAGTGATGCAAAACCACACTTTAAGCAAGAGATACAAGACATTTTAATATCTTTTAATTTTAATAATAAATAATTACAGCTTTATATATATTATTTTGGGAACATTTCAGTAGTATTTTAACTCAGGAGCAAATTTCTTATTATATAAGGTATTATCTACATCTAGGAGCTATAACTAAAGCACTGAGCTTCGGTCATTGGTTTGCATTGCTTGGTGATAAGGTCCCAGCCATATTTGTAAGGACATCGCACTATGGTCAGGTACCCGCTGAGACACCTGTAGAAGTACTCGCATCGCTGGGGATGAGGATGGTCACCATCTCCGGAGGAGTTGCAGTGTGGTCTCTCCAAAGCTGGAGAAGATGGCTTAGGAGATGGAGAGGAAGGGGAAGAGTCTTTAGAAGGTGTAGAAATATCCACAGACGGAGTGGAAATATCTGAAGACGATGTAGAAGAATGTGGAGAATATGAGGCGGTATATTGAGCAGGTGATGTGGGTGTTGGAGTGGAACTACTGGTCTCCTCCTCTTCCTCATTGGTCTGCTGATCAGGTTCCTCCTCTTTCAAGTCAGAAACAGAGTTCCTGAGACACACCCCGTCATCATCGAAGGCGCACTCCTGGGTTCGGTCGTCGAAATAGGTGGACTCTGGACAGCTGTCCCGGAAGGAGTCCTCTCCATTGCAGTAAATGTACGAAGCACAGTCGTCGATTGCCATGACAAAGGTATCCAAAGCCGCATTATTACACTGCGGAAAATCTTCTCCTTGAACTGAAGTTAGGCATCCAGTGAGGACCAGCAGACAAAGCCAGGTTTGTACTTTAAATAGCATGGTGATATTCGGTTCGTTCACTTTATTGGTGGAGATGAAGTCGGTGGACCCTCTTTTTATAGCAATTTTCAAGGTTGACTGCAAAACTCTTATCGCCACTCTTGTAGCTGATATCATCCCAAGAAATGTTGCCAATTTATTTGTCTTTGAAACCAGCATATGTGTCAAGGCCGTGCAATGACTTTCTTGTTATGATAAGGCACATAAAAAAATTTGATTTTTTATACCCTTTGAGAGGGTAGTGCTTCTTTTAAATGTAAAAAGCCGTCAAAGGATTTACAACTTCTTCTTTAGTATAGTTTTTTAATTTTATAATCATTTTTTCTTATATTAAGAGTGAAGTCCTGCAATTTATGGACCAATTAGTTATAAATGAATTACCAAATCGTTTTGTTTTTAGAAAAGAACTCTCTTAATTATTTTGTATTTGTAAAATTCCTCAATATGTGGAATATATAATTATATACAATTTCCTAGGTATATTTGTTTTGAAAAACTTTGTTCTGCTTCTCTGATGGAATTAAAAATCTAGTAATATTATTTTTAAGTCAAATTTTATTTAACCACCTTTTTTCATTTACATTTTTTGATAGGCAAATTGTTTCACAATTGTTCTCCTGTTTCAAGTAGACTTTCGCCTGTAAAAGCATGCTGAGATCGTGGTCCACCACATCCAATTGCTGCTCCAACTTCCTTTTGAGATTGCGCACCCGCAAAGTGCCCATGGAAAGGGGCAGACGATTGTACTCGGAAATCAATTGTCTTTGCCGTTCCTGGGCAGATTCCAAAAGATCTCTTCTCTGTTCAATTGATAGCAGGATGAGTTGGGGATCCGGCTGCTTCTCCAGCTCCTTCTGGTGATCTTCCTTTGGCGGGATCTCCAATACTTGGGGCTGACTCTCTTTCGAGGGGAGCTCCTCACAGGATGCTTGAGAATGTATGCTCAGCATATCCTCCGGGTCTACATCTACCATCTCCGGGATGTCCATTTGCCGGCATCTGGGAGAACTTGTCCTGGAGGATGACTCGTCGTCTTGCTTTGGAATAGAGGAGCAACTGGTGTCCAGGTAATTTAATCCACTGGGCAAAATGCCGAACGCGCTGGCCAACGGCCTGTGCAGTGTGTACTGCCCCGGTTGATGGCCATCGCGTTGTTCCGACATCCTGCCCAGCTCGAAATTGGATGCAGTGCGTCGCAGGCGTAGTCCCTCGCCCAGGAACTGTCCTGCCTCGTCGCCCTCGCTGCGGGATTGAAGGTGGGATTGGGATGGGGATGGGGACTTTTCGGAGCACTTGAGCAGGGCGGCACTGAGAAACCGTTCGTCGCTAATCTCCTCCGTTTGGATCTGCTTCTCGGAGGATGTTTGTCGACTGATAGTCTTTCTTGGTAGAGTTCTTCCACCCGTCGAACCCCGCTGAGTTGCGGTTGATCCGACCTTAACTGGTCCGTAGCATCTGGCCCTGGAGGCCATTGTGGGCAGTTGGTAATTTCTAGATGTCTGGCTCACCATCAGCCGGTTTTCGCGCAGGAAATTCCGTGTCATGGCCAAGTGATCAAGTCAAAACAGGAGATGAAAAAAAACAAATATAAAAACAATGAACGTGGTGAATTGTTTTGTGGGCTACAAAAATCAACTAAAAAGTTATATTCAATGAAGCTTTATGCAAAATATATCTGATCTGTTTTCTAAGTCTTATAAAATCAATTTAGAAATTTAAAGAGGGCCAGCACTTATTTAATTTAAAGAAATTCTTTTTAAACTATTACTTTTACAAAAAATAATATAACAAAATCCACCGGTTCAAAAGTTTTAACAAAGTGTTGGTATGCTTTAAGTATTATATCTCTTAAGTATGTATATCTCTTCCTATTTGAGCTGATCGAAGGCCTGGCGAAGCATTTGATTACAGAGCGCAGCAAAGGGATTGATTTCCACAAGCTGGAAAATTAAGCAGAATTATATAAGTTGTATTTGAGATTGTATTCAATTTCCAAATACCTGTTCCCTGGCGAATTTACTGCCTAACTGAACTGCTTCCTCAAAATCTGCACGTGCCGCATCCAAATTATCCAGTTTACGATATAAGACCCCTCGCTGACAGTGGGCATGGCACTTGGTGCGGGTCTGCTGATCATTGGCCAGTTCCACGGCTCTGATCAAGTCATCGAGGGCCTCTAACAAAACCAAAATATATTATAAATAAAATTCTCTTGAACCCAAGGTATATAAACATTTTTATAACTCATACTTACCCTCATCGCGTTTTGCCAGTCGCAATGTTTGGGCTCGATTATTAAGCACTGAAGCCCTCTGAGCCAGATTAAGTGATTCTTGGAATACTTCAAGGGCTTCATCCAGCTTCCCTTTTTCGGATAAGGTAATGGCCTTTAATTCCAGTTCCCTCGATGCTCTGATATCTGGGGTGTCCGGCTCTACGTCCTTTAGATCAGTTTCAGTGGGAACGGAGTCAAAATCTTGGAGGCTGCCAAGCTCCAGAGGATTAAAGATGGAATCCAGCACCTGCTGGTCGTGAGGACTTAACTTTAGATTGGCCTGGGGCATGATACGTTGTTGTTTGGTCTATAAGTTCGATCAAACTGAAGTCGACATCCGGAATAGGTAAAAACAAAATAGAGGGGGGAGAACGAAATGCAAATTATGTCGTTCAACCTGTTCAGATAGAGAGCGAAAAACAATTTCAAAACAAGTCGAAGTCGATACACAAATATAAGATATGGGCTACTCACTTACTTGTTATAAAGATCTATTCCCATTTATTTAGCTTTTACAGCTCTCGATATCTTTGCTTGTAAGTATAATTATTTACATCCAAAATATTGACTGAACTCGATTTTTTATATAAGCACCAAGTTATTAACACATAATGAAATAATGTTATTAAAATATTACATTTTTAGTTCTGACAAATGAAATAGCGTTCTTCGCTGCAATCAATATCGTTCATTTTTAGTTCTTTAAGCTCAACACAGTCCTCTTTTTTTCCAGGATCGCTGGGTTCTCCAAGGCCCCAATCCAAAAATTGTACCTTCTGGCCGAAGGTCACTGAGACATACTCATTCTCCTTCACCCGATCGTTAATGCCCACCCAGTAGTTTTCTGATGGGACGATCTGCTCTTTGATGGAGTCAAACTCTTCTTGGTTTTTAAAGGTCGCCAGATGGCCGCCCATGACACGACAATATGTTTCAGCATCGTCCCAAGTTTTTTCAATGTTTATGATTGTGAAATGTTTCCAGACAAGACATTGTTGCATTGGTAGTTTGTTTTCAATATTCGTTGGCATATTGGGAGATCTATTTGAAATGTTTGCTAACATATCTTTAATATCCTTTTGATTGCTGATCAGCATAGCTTTCATATCGTTCTGAATCCTATTGAACTGCTTCCGAAGATTTTCTAGACCATCAAACAAAGGATGAAGTGCGGCAAGGCAAGTGGATCCGCACTGTTTTGGTGCGTCTGTCAATACACATACTGAAGGCGTTATTGTTCGGAAATCCGCCAGGACACATGAATTCCAAGTTATTACTGCACACAAAAATAATGCTCCGTACTTAATCATTTTCAGAGCGTTCAACCTTATGGGACAGCGGTCTTAAATACTTGCTGATATACTTGATAAAAAGAAAAATATACCGTGCTAAACTTTGCATTTTCGGTATCTAAGGTGAGCAAAAAATCGAAAATACTTAACATAAGTGCACTGACAGAAACAACTCACGCTCAACTAAATCGTTTTGTTTTCACCCCAGCTTACTTACTGTGTCCTTATAAGAATAATAATAATAATCCTTTTAACGAACCAACAATTTTTACAAAAACTTGACTGAATTATCTAATATTCTTTCACATTTCCATAAAACATTAACCCTAAAAAACACACTACTTAATAAAAGCAAAACCGGGAAAGTTTAGAGTGAGTGGAAAGAATAATACAACTAATAGGAAAAAAAAGAAACCTTAATACCTAGTTCCGGGAATTTTAATTGGAATTTAATAAGGAGTGAAATGAAATCACTTGATAGTTGTACAACATTGACAAATTCGCTTCTAGGCATCGTGTCATAACTTGAGTCATAATAATTATTATTATATATAATATTTCTGAAAAGAAAACATAGTGAGAGAAGCTCATAAAAAAACCAAATCGTATAAGGGCGGAGGAAGATCGTTCGGTTCCAGTTCTTCGCTGACGATTGTTGTCGAAGGCGATGGTCTGGGCATATTTAATGCTCTGTCGTAAGGAGGTGGTGGTATTAGGGACTCTTGGGACCCCTCTCGCTGCTCTGGTAATCGTAAAGCGCTTGTATCCGGCGTCTGGTCGTAGGGTATAAGACTGGAAGTCAGATCTATTCGGTTCCAGTACCATATAACCACCAAGATGATCAAGAAGATGGTGAGTAAGAAAACGCAGAAGATCAACCAAGCGTTCTTCACTTGCACATCCTCTTGCAATCTTTTAATCTTTTGAACTTTCTTATGTAAGGTTTTCAAGTATTGTGTCTTTCCTTGAATTAGTTGCCCACTGCATTTATCTTTAAGGTCATTGGTTTCGATTATCTTTTTTCCAAGCCACTCGTTTAAGTTTTCAATTATTTGCAAATTCCGGCAGAAAAACGTGTTCTCTGTTAAATTACATGTCCTTGAACATTGTGGATATAGTAAATCCTTGGATTCAGCCAATAAACTCCATGAAATAGACGCGTATAAAAATAATGATGCCAGTTTTAGCATAATAAAACCTTACGACCTACGATGTCGGGAGACACTTGTGTACTAATTATGAAATTACGAAAAAACCGAATAAGAGTTCTTGATAAGCCTATTACATATTTCTGTGAACTTATTTTGTAACCATAAGTAGTGAAGATAAAGGGGTATTGGAAGAGTGAACCGTTCTCATCTTTTCTGCTCTCAAATGGGTTTTTAGTTTTTTTCGTCGCAAAATATGAGATGGTTTAGCGGATACGGAATAATAAAACATATCAATACGTTTAAGATCGTTTTATTTAATATATGTCGTATTTACTTAATATATTGCACTCTTGTTGTAGTATTTTTTAAGAGAACTGGGCATTTGATTGGTTAATTTATTACTTAACTGCCTACTAATACTGATTGAATTATGTTTTTTTCTGTTTCGGCTATTTCTACATCTTTTTCTCGTTGCATTGGCTTGTCGTGGTTTTTGGTAGCTAGTGGTTTAACATAACACTATAGCATATGATTTCTTGATCTCTTGAGCATATCACAGAACAAAAATGACAGTAGAATATGACATGTTCGAGGGTCGAGTGTGGAAGAATTTGGTTTCTAGTAAGGGGCATAGAAAGTGTAAAAATATTATTCGGAGCTTAAGAGTAAATATCCATGTATTCGTAAATGTTTATCTGATATACATATTTATATATATTATAATTATGTCTGTAAGTCTATGCCGTGTAAATGTTCATATAAACTGTGATATCGTTTGTTTAGAAAAATACTGAGCAAAAGTACTTGGCATTGTGCATTGGGGGAGGGGGGGTGGTCGAGGTTGAGGGTTAGCGAACTCTAAGAGAGGCTCAATTCCCCGACAGCCTATACGAGAATCTTGTCATACGATGGCGGCGGTGATTCATCCAGCGGCAGTTGTTTGCCCATTGTTGCCGGCGTTTGTTCCGGCAGCAATATGGCTATATGATAGGGTGGCGGACCAGCCGTAGAGGTCGTCCCGCCCACTGGGGACATCTGAAGCTCCTCCAGGTATCGAGCCTCGGTCATCTCCAGCAGGCAGCCGGCGGACTGGGCCGCTCCCGATCCTGATCCCGTCAAGGAGGAGTTCACACCACGACTGTGGCTCACGGCTGCCCGGCCATCCGATCGACTGGAACTCGAGAGCAGACCCTTGGGAATGCGGCACAGACTGACCAGGCAGGCGGCCAGGAAGAAGGTGGCCGAGAAGGCGCAGAAGATCAGCACCTCCAGTCCGGTGCCCTGGTGGTCGAAGTAGAACTTCGTTCCGGCCACAAAAACGGAGGCCAGCACCAGGGAGGCACACATACCGCATTTCAAATGACCCGGAAGCAATTGCGAGTCCGCATGCTGCAGCAATGCATGATGTTGCTGCTGCAACTGGTTGCTGTGGTGCGTTGTTGCAGCAGGTACGGCAGCAACTGTTGCCGCTGGACTGGCCATAGTTGCTGCCTCTGCCGTGGATGATGTTGCCGCTGCTGCTGATGTTGCTGTTGTTGCTGCTGAGTGTCGCATGTTGCTGCTGGAGTTGTGGCGACGGGGCGTGGCGTAGGCGTTGGATTGTCGCTGGTTGTTGCTGCCGCTGGTCGAGTGATTGCTGCTGTGCTGTTGATGGGCGGTGTGGTGATAGGCGCTGTAGGCATCATCGCTGGAATACAATAATCGGTTGTTAGTCTGTAAAATCTTTATCTATAAGCTACCATCAATGCAGGCCATATCATTGTATTGTATAAAGTTTACTGATAAGGAAATGGACTTTAATTTCAGTGAGAATTCAAAATTTCGTATTTAAAGTTCAGAATCTTTAAAGTGCATGATTTAATAGTCAAATATTTGTACCAAGTTAGAATATTATAGATACGATGTTATCTTAAGCTTTTGATACGTTTAGAAATATTTCTTCAATGCCACGGTTAGGTTAAAGTTTCATAAGTAACAGAGAATTGGAACGACAAATTGGTTTTCCGAATGTCATAATAAACCGATAAGCCCTAACTAATGTAGAGAAAATATATGCAACATAACTAAACGACATAAGCTAACAAGACATTAAATAATCGGCCCTAAAACAGTTAAATTTTAAATTTTCGTATTTTAAATTAGTTAAATACACAAGGGATAAAAGTCAAAGCTGAAACAATGGAAATTGAATATTAAATTATTGGTCTTTATTGTTCTTTAAGGCTTGCAGATTATTTAAAAATTGGCCATTAATTTTTTTAACAGTATAACTAAAATTGTTTTAAAATACATAGGTTTATATTTTTTTTTGGCGATCTGCAGTGATGTTGCCCCTTAGTATTAGCTACTTACGCATAGACATTGCCCGAATATTGCTGCTGCTGATGTGCATCGTAATGTCTCATGGGCACGGCCATGTTGCCGAATTGTGGATGGTGATAGCTGTAGTGCTGCTGCTGTTGATGTTGCTGCTGCTGATGCTGCTGTTGCTGCTGCTGCTGTTGGTGCAACAGTTGCTGCTGCTGCGTCCTTGGCTGATAGCGCGTGCTGCCGTGGTGACTGTAGTGGGAGCCACGTGCCACCAGGGGAACGATGGTGCCACTTCCGGTGAGGACAGCTGCCGAGGAGGCTATTCCGCTGGCATTGTTATTATTGCTGGCAGTTGTTGTTGTGCCGGTGGCAGCCAAGTTGTTGTTGTTGCTGCTGCCACCGCTGGAATGTTGCTGCAACATGTGATGCTGCTGCTGCTGCTGCTGGGAGTTGTTGTTGCCATAGGACGAATGCGACTGCGATTGCGACTGCAACTGGCGACTTGTGCCCGGCTGGTGAAGATCGTAGGGCGTCTGGGGCAGGGATCTGTGCACCGGGGGCATCGACTGGCCACTGCCGCCGACATTGTTGCTGCTGCAGCTGCTCGACTTGGTCCTTCGTGGCGGATGGCCGTAGCTGAGGCCACTACCAGCATGCGACAAGGAGGCCGCCACGCGGGAACGGCCAAATCCGCACTGCTGTGATCGCTTGTCAATCCAGAAATGCATTGTGCCCACAGTGTAGAGTAAGTTGGGGTAACTGAAAGTTAGGTTAAATTCATATTAACCAGAATATAGCAGCATTTAACATCAAGTTAATTCTTCGGAAAGATGTAAGTTTCCAGAACTGAAAGTTAGGAAAAATCTTACTTTCAAAGTTTATTAACTAGAAAAAAATAGCCCATATCATGTTTGTCATGTTAAGGCTTAGAGGTAGAAAAACCTAATATTTAATTGAGAAATTCAATTTTTTAACGTAGTAACAATCGTATTATGAGACTAATGATAAAAACAAAATGAGTCACCCATTTTGACTGGACGACATACATACATACATGTGTGCTATCAATTTCAATTTTCTTAAATAAACAAATTACCGGAAGTTTGATATCTAAAATACGAGCATCGCCTAAAAAGAAGTAATATAAAATGGTATCTAATATTAAATCAACTAAATATTTATTTGTATGGCTAAGAAGAGCGATATTTATTAACTTATTGTATTTTTAAGTTACAAATCTGTAAAAGTATTACGAAAATTTAAAGAACATTGTAAAGTTACAAGAAATCTAAAATACGCAGTTTTAGAGTGCAGACAGACAGACAGACAGTCGGCATTAAGTGCTGCAAACTTATTTGAAGTTCAAGTTGTGTGTTTAGGTTGGGGGAAAATCCTTGACTAGACAAAGCGCATCTGACTCATTTGGCTTTGTGTCTGCCAGACGGAAGGGAGTCCTTTCCCCGGTCCCAGGATCCCACCCATTTCGCTCTTGCGAAACGTTAAAACAGGAAACGTGCGCATCGCATTTCATAGGGGAAGGCAGCCTCTCTGTCTGCAAAAATCTCGAAACCCCCTTCCAGGACCTGGTTTGGCATTTCCTCTTTGTGCTTCCCTGTTCGAAGGTGCAACAAGGAACAAAGGTTGCTTTGCTTTTGCTCGGTGGCTGACTGCCTGGTCAAGGAACCCGCCCGAAAAATAAAACATTCATTGAACGCTTTCACTTCCCGTGTCATTGGCATCCACAAACCCAAAACATCCTAAAACACCAAGGACCTCAGCGCGCCAAAAACGCACAGACAGGGTTCGGAGGGGGGATGGTGTTTGCAAAAGGACACGACCAAACAGAGGGGTGCTCAAGGGGGGCTAAGAATTCTTAGAAAATATTTACATGAGCTTACCTACTCTTTAAAAGTATTAACTATGAAGTTAATTAGAATTTTTCCTAAACCCCCTGTGGAACTTTGGGTTCGCGATCTATCCCAAGATGAATTATGACGCGTACTTTCCTCTGTTCTTGAAAGTGTTTTTATAGAGACAACCGAAACCATTGTGCCCGGTGTTTGCATTTATGGCTCTTAACTCGCTTAGCTGTTCGTTGAACTGTTCCTCCGGCCAGGCTTTTTGTGAATGGCTGTGGTTTTGGATGGTGTGTTTGGCCAATCAACGATGTCAGCGGAGGAAAATAATGAATTTTTTAAATGATCCCACAGACAATTTGCCGTGTCGTGTAAACAATTGAATAGATATACACTTGCACATACCCACCACCGCCATAAAATCAACCGCACAATAAAATAACTTTTATTTCGGGATCGGGAACTTTCCTGTTCTACTTGACAGCCAGGTTCAAAGTTCAATGCCTGTCAACATCTTCGAGAGCAGCATTACACAATACAATGGTTGAGCAGAGCTGAGAGCGAATAAATAAATACTCAAGCCCGGGCCAGGGTAATAAAATAAACATATTTAAAAGAGACATTTTGACAACCTTTTGATAGGTTCATTTCGTTTCCATTTCTCGCCTGGCGCCAATTCGGATTTCGGTTGAATTTCTGGCCACCCCTACATTCCTTATAAGGAGGGTTCATTGCTTTGTGCTCCAGCCACCCCGATTACAACCATTTAGACGGGACAGAGTTCAGCTTGATTTGCCTCGATGCTGGTCAAGATTTGTGCGGAACTTGAGTAAAACCGGGCATTGACATTGTCTATGAGCAAGTGTTGCCCTTGCTAAGACAATCATAAAACAAAGGGAAAGAAAGAAAGACAGCATGCCCATTCAATTTGTTTTAATCACCTTTTACGCACACTATATAAATCACTATCTCACCTTATAATAATAATTCTATTATCAGCCCCGCCCTGTCCCTCGCTGGGCTCAAGATGCCAAACAATGGCAAACTGCCCGATCATTGGGTCTCCTTGAAACATTACCCATAAAATAGATCCACTTAAATAGATACAAAAACATTTTTCGATTTAATTCACGGAACCCGTTTTATTTTGGGCCTCCCGCCAGATGAGGTTGCTGAAGTTGGCCTCTGCGTCGCCCTTGTTTCAACTGTTTCCGTGGTGTAGCGGTTATCACATCTGCCTAACACGCAGAAGGCCCCCGGTTCGATCCCGGGCGGAAACAGGTGAAATAGCTTTTTGTTTTTTTTATTTTGAATAATTTAGTTTTCATTAAAATTTGGTCCTTTCTCGAAACATGAATTCATTTTTAAGAGAAAAGATGCGTATTTTTAGTTTTCACATTTTATTAGAGCGTGTTTTCTTCTCTCGAGGCACCATCTATTTTGGAGTTTTGGACAGTTATTGACTTTATTTAAAATGAATATATCCTATTTTGCTCTTATATTCCATATTCATTTTTCTGTGTTCTCCCTTAACATAAAAACAAACCTATAATAAACTAAAATTAATTTGAGTAATTTGTGTTTGCATTAACACGAATAACATTTTAGCAAAAAGTGTGTATCTTAAAATGATTACTAAATAAATTAGCAAAACGAAAGTCGGAAACTTAATGTTCTACAAAAGTAAGGGAATAAACCCTATACAAAAGATTATGATTCTGGCAATAATATCAGTAACACAATATACATGTTATAATTCAATATTATTTAAAGCTAATAAGATTTTTTAATAAAATTAGTGGTGATACTTACAAAAAAAAAGATTTCATAGGTACTTTATGTAAAAAAAAAGATTCCATCTGTTTCCGCCCGGGATCGAACCGGGGGCCTTCTGCGTGTTAGGCAGATGTGATAACCGCTACACCACGGAAACAGTTGAAACTATTGCGGCGCTGAGGCCAACTTCAGCAACCTCATCTGGCGGCAGGCCAAAAAAGTGTGCAATAACAATAGTAAATTAAATTTATTTTTATTGATACAATGCATATCACTTTAGTATTAATTTTACCATCAGAGAGGTGAGCTTCACAGAATTTAAGGGAGGTTTGTGTTCTGGCAAAGTGCCAGCAAATTCAATCAAAGCGGAAATCTAAACTAATCGAAAGTTGTTAAAGTTAAAAGGGGCTGAATATTAAATTAGTCACAGGTGGCTACTGAGATTCTTAATTAAATTATGACTTTGACCAGTATAAAGGTAAAAAATGACTCATTTCGGTTAAGGTATATATTTAATTTTTAAAAAGAATGTTTAGCACTTTATTAATGAAAATTTAAAACCTATTAATCCGTGTTCTTTAAACGCCCATTTATCAAACAGTCTACATTTAATTGCCGAACAATGTAAAGGCCATTCCCAGCCAGTTTATTGACTGAGCGATTTGATTGAATTTGGGGCAAATGACACGCCGGAAAGGCCGAGGAAATGTTTATTAAACGGAATTCCTCGGGCAGTCGGGAAATTCGTTGGAAACAGAGCTATCCCGACCCAACAAGAGCATTGCATAAATGAAATGCCAGACATTCATACTGGCTGCTATTTTCCCAGGCATTTCTCCTCACCTCCGCCGGATGAGAACTGTGTATGCGTCATGGGGGGGAAAGATGCCAAAACAAAACAGAAATTGTAAACTTTAAAGCAGGAACCATATCAGCCACCCCTTTCGGGCCATTTTACTCTCACTCGGACGGTTTGTTTTTGCCATTAACCTTTGTCGTTCGCTCTTTTCGTTGGCGGGAAGTGAATTTCTACCAATCGAGGGGGTTCCCCTAATATTTTGCAGGCTGAATAATGTGAGGATCTGTCGGTTTTTGCTATTTGTCTGTCAACCGAAAGGCCATAAAAAAAAAGCGAACAAAATCCCTGCCCACTTGATGGCGTACGCTGCGTATGAGCAATGCGCCGAATGCAAGCGATTCTGTCTGCGGATGTGCTACTCTCCCAGTGTGTGTGTGTGTGTGTGTGTGGGCTGTTTTCAAGTGCACCACGCTGTTTTACCTGCAATATTTTCTCGCCTTTCCGTTGCCAATGCTCTCGAAATGTGTTTTCCTTTCAGCTTTTCAATGCCTTTGCCTTATTGGCACGTTGCTGTCACGTTTCTCGCCTTTATTGCACACATATTGTTGTTTTTAGGGGCACTGGTTTTTCAAGCTATTTTGTATAGTTTTTTTGCTGCAGCAGAGTCCTTGAACGCTCAACTGACCCGACACGACAAGCACTGACACACTGGCAAATGAATATCCTTTTCTTTTTTTGTGCGAATAGCTAGTCTCAGTCACACGAAGGACTCACGCGACTTTGCAACTTTCTATGCAATTTAATTCAATCTAATTCAATTCAAAAAATCAGCCACCGCGGATTCGCGCTCGAATAATTGTATTTTGCCAACCTTGCGGCCCCGCTTCGCTGATGGGCGGTGGGTGGTGGGTGGTTGGGTTGTGGGTGGTCGCTCGGTCGGTCGGTTGTTGAATGGACGATGGGTGGTGCTGATTCGCCTGCGATTCGAACGGCGCAAGGACTCGCAGCCAACTGAATGTGTGAATGCAGCTGGGCCAAGCGTCGTGCTCGTTTTCACTTTCATGAGTTTCGCCAAGCACTCTTTCAACCCCCCTTTCCACCCACCACTGTGTTTCCTTCTTTTTTTTTTGTTAACCCGCAGACAGCGTTTTGTTTTTGCTTTCTGTATGTGTGGCCGTGCGAATCGGTGGGCCAGCGGGTGGGTGGATTTGGCACTCGGAGAAGAGCGTGAACATGGCTCTCTCTGCTGCTCTCTCTTCGCGGCGCATGCGCCCTCTAAAAAAAGAACCATTGTGAACGGGCTATCGAATTCAAACTGTAACGTCTTTAATCTAAAAGATAACCTGAAATTCAAACAAAGTAAAATCTAGAATTCGTATTCAAGCTGTTTTCTCTTGATAAAAAGCTTTCAGTCTAGTCTATATACATATATGGTGTTTTAATACGAAGATAAGAAAGCTTCAGACTTACTATTCTGGGATAATCAGCGTAAAGTTATCATCTTTATCAAAAGAACTTACTTGATAAGACTTTAAAAATGGTTAAAAAGTAAACACATAAACCTTCCATTATGAAAGCTAAAAAATTAAAAGACATAGTACATAGCTAACAAATTTATCTAAACTCCTTATCTAAACTCCTTGAACAAGAATAGAAAAAAACTGTACCCCATTAAATACTAAAGCTAGATCCTTAAATTCAAATACCAAGAGGCAACAGCATTCAATTGTTTATTTGGAAAAACTTCAGTTAGGCACCAACGTATTCCGGTCTGCGGCACTCCTCCACATTGGGATCGTACTGAAGACCCGGAGTACAGTCCAGTGTGACTCCATTGCCATCGACGCAATAATAGTATGCATCGCGGCGGAACTTGTGCGGATAAAAATAAACTCCTACATTGGGACACTTGATGTCGGCACGGCGCAATGGAGATCGGGAATAGGGCATAATATTCCTAGCCGCAGCATCAATCTGGTATAAAAAAAATATAAATTTTAGTTTTCTGTACAAATTAAAAGAAATCTTAAGAAAAATTGAAAGCAAAAAAAACGAAGACCAACTTTTCTCTGTTTAAAAAATTCTTCTTCTTAATTATTCAAGAAGAAACTCTCTTGAAATCAAGACGAAAGAGCTCTGAAGTTTCATGTTGAAGCGGCTTTCGGAGGTTATATGTTTTAAGAATTTAGAAATCATACTAATTTTCCTTGACTCACCGAGCAATTAACATTCTTAGCAAAGTCGCAAAGTCTCAAGGTCGGATTGTAGGCCAAGCCAGGGGCGCACTCCTGTTCCCATGGATAGCCATCGGAGCAGACGAAGTACTTGGTGCAGGAGGCCTTGCTGGCCAGGTAGATGATGTTCTCCGGCTGGAATGTGGCCGAGCAGTCGTTAGCCACACAGTCCACGTACTCGGGGAAGTCACAGCGATCCGTCCTGTTGTTGTACTGGAGTCCATCCTGGCATTGCCGTAGAACGGGTTTTCCGTAGTAGCAGAGCACGTATTTCGTACAGGTGTTGTCGTAGCAGAAGCTGCTCAATTGGAAAGATTCGCAGGAGGGCAGGCACTGGACTACATCTGCGTAGGTGCACAACTGGAGGACCGGGTCGTAGGCAAGATCACAAGGAGGATTATCACACATTTTTGAAGCACCCTCCAAGTCCAAACAGCTGCCCATTTCCTTTATGGTGTTATCTAAAAATATAAATTAAATCATATATTACCAACTCACTCCTAATGGTTGTCAAGCTATAATTTCCCGTTCATATCATGGGTCTTGTTTCTATAGACAGCAACTTCCCGTATTGTTCTAACTTTCTAACTTACTTTCACACTCAATATACATAGAGCAATTTCCCACATAGGGCAGGAAAACTCCATCTGCCACGTTGTTGCAAACGTTAATCTGGGTGTTGTTATACATGTCATATTCAGCCTCCTCCTCGACCACTTCATCATCTTCAGGATCACCTTCTGGACCAGGGGCCACCACAAGATCTTCGTCGGCCCAACTCCCAAGAACCATCAACAGGACCAACAGAAGACCACCATTTATAAGCCACTTCACTGAAAAATAAATACAAGATCTTTAGATTTTAGCTAAACTCAATCTCTGAGCTACTTACTGCTGCATAGCTTGGAATCTGCAACCCAACTGTTTGCCTTCAGCCTGGAAAATATTTATTTTATATCATCTCTTCGTGGTCGCCTAATGAGTTTTTGCTAATGTGCACTTATCATCTTGCTAATTTCGGCACACGACTGTCGTAGGAAGACGACACCCCAATTTCTGCAAACATTTCAGCTTTCAATTTGTCGCCACCAAACATCGTGATAATTTATCGCATTCCAAATGCTTTAAATAGGGGGGTTCCCAGAACAGGTTAATATCATATTGTAGTCAAAAAGAAGTATCACATCTTGGCACGTGTTTGCTCTTATCGTTTGGGTGTACGAGGTTTGTAAAACATTACGGAGCAATTGTAGTAAGGATCTAAAACCAAAAAAAAAAAGAAAATTTTAAATTTTAAAAATAAATACACTTTTTGTATTCAGAAACGCTTACGTTTGGATGGTATAGTCCCTTCATTCTTGATTAAGGGATCCGTTTGATCTTATCTATCTTTTAATTCCAAGCACTTTTAACCATTACAGACGATCTTAAGTTGCAAATTATACAGGAGTAGTGACTCATCTCTACACGTGTTTGTTAATGGCTGACAGATCTATATATTTCCAGAGTCTTCCTGATTAAGGCACTGTCAAAATTGGCTCTTGTTCGCCGACCTTATCTCTACCCATTGAATTTTAATGAGTTAGGAACGCCTTCTAATTACCACATAAGAACATGAATCTGATAAGATTTGGAATTCGCAGGGAAGCAAAACAAACCGGAGATTGAATACCAAGTGGGTTTACCTATAAATTGAGGAGGTCTTTGAGGTGGGCCGATAGTTTGCTGAGGAAACCAACCCAAATAGTAAGTAGGAATCGCAATGAAGAAGAAACTTTAAATTAGTTCTTAAGTAAAAAAATGTTCCATAGTGATGTACCGCCTGACCCTTTTGGCCCTGGTTGCCCTAATTGGAGGATGTAGAGCTGCGGATGGGGATGTGAATATCTGCTCCGATGTGGTCAGCAATCTCTTTCTTCCCCACGTGAGCAACTGCAGCAAATACTACCTGTGCATGAGTGAGTGAAGAAACATTGAGGAACTACCTTTCGACTATCTTCATCCTTCGTAACCATTCCAGGTGAGGTGGCTGTGCCCCGAGAATGCCCTGCGGGCTATTACTTTGATGCCCGGGATCAGCAATGTGTCCCTGTGATGGAGGCCAGATGTGTGCCCTCCTGCAAAACCAGGGGATTGGAGTCCTTTTGCTACGATCGCACCTGCACCAAGTACGTCCTCTGCTTCGATGGCACTCCCGTGATCCGCCAGTGCTCCAATAGACTGCAGTACAATGGCCAGACCGATCGCTGTGACTTTCCCCAGTATGTGGACTGTGTGGACAACATGTGCATCCGGGAGAACAACCCGAATGCTATCGTTTTCATAGCCAGCAAGGCTCGCTGCGACAAGTACTTCATCTGCAACGATGGTCTTCCAAATGTTATGACTTGTGCAAATGGTCTACAGTACAACCCGAGCACCCAGAGTTGCGACTTCGCTTCAAAAGTCAACTGCACGGTGGGTGTTTTAGAAGTCCAAAGTTCTAAAGTTCCCTGGGATTTACTTAAAGAATTGTTTTTTAGGTCGAGACCTTGCAGAGGAATATTCTGCCCTTTGCCCGAGCTCCTCCTCGTAGTGCCGACATCAAGTGTCCTTCGGAGGGCGCCCATTTTATTGCCCACCAGAGACGCCAGGATGCCTATTATTACTGCCTTAATGGCCAGGGAGTCACCTTGGACTGCACACCTGGTCTGGTCTTTGATGCCAAGAGTGGGGAATGCCGGGAACCACAGTTCGTGGGCGCTTAAATCCTTGAAATAAAGATCCACTACTGTCAACTTATGCCTTCTTATGGTTTTCTTTAATAATATGGTAAAGGTATTGCTTTAAAAGAAATATTATAGGATTGGAGTGTTCTTATGTTTCAGTAAAATATTGTACACAATTTTAGAACCACCTCTTATCCAAAGAGATCAATACTTATTCATACCTGAAGTACTTATGCTCTTAATAATTTACATTTTATGAGAACTTAATTTCAAACAATTTTATTGACATAATATTAGATGCATTAATAAATGTAAAATGGTAAATAATTTCTTCAAGCAAATAAGATATCCACCCACGGAAGTTTTTTCTGCATAACTGTTGCTCCATTCAAATTTATTATTTACAACCAAGTTAAACTCCTATATTTTGCGGTTCACGGCACTCCTGGACCTTAGGATCATACCAAAGGCCAGGCGTACATTCCAAAACCAGACCATGTCCATCCACACAATAGTAATAGGCATCTTGGCGAGAGTCGTGGACATAGAAGTGGACGCCGGAGGGGGGACAAATTCCTTCAGTGGTTCTGGGTGAAAGACGGGAGGTCTGCCGTACCTTCCTCTGTTCAGCAGGGATCTATAAAGTTTATCTTTTAACTAGTGAAATCTTTAAAGACATATTCTTGTTTGGGTCCCACCTGACAATCCGATTTCGAGGGAATATCGCAACAATCACACTTGGTACTGAAATATAGACCAGGAGTACAGGTCTGCTCCCTGGGGACTCCGTTGCCGCAGAGAAAATACTTCTCGCAAGAGACTTTACTGGGCACATAACGTAGGTGATAGGCATTATAGTAAATGGAACACTCGGATTCCACGCAGTCCACGTTCTGGGCAAAATCACAGCGATCTGTTTGAGAGTTGTATTGGAGGCCATCCTGGCATTCCCTTAAAACAGGATGTCCGTAGTAGCAGAGGACATACTTGGTACAGGTTCTCTGATAACTAAAGGTACTGAAAGTATAGGCCTTGCAGGTAGGCAAACATTCAGCCTGCCCGAAATTTACACAACTTTGGGTATTGGCATTAAATTGGTACGGCCATTCGCACTGCAGTTCTATGGCTTGGCCAGCTAATAGGAAGAAATTTTATAATGTTAGTTATAACATATTAAGATCTTGGGATCCAGAACTCACAACGACAGAGGTAGTACTTGTTGCAGTCCCCCACAAAGGGCAGAAACACATTATCCGCCACATTGCCGCAAAGACTGAGATTGCCCATGATTAGTCCATATTCCTCATCGGCTGTTGTCGTTTCTGGATAACTTTCAGTAGCTCCGGAACCCTCTAAGTCATCAGTTCTTGATTCCAACACTCCACATATCAGACAGATAAAAAACCATATTACTGCAAAAAAAATAAAATTAATAGGCTTCCTTTTAAATTCCAGCTTCAGATGTGAAAACCTCCACTCATTGTCAGCTTTTTGACCCAACTGATTGCCACAGCTCACAAACATTTTCCTTTATAAGGTGCAAGCATCAGATTATCTTATCTATCGATGTTTTTCTTCCGACTGACAAATTAATTGGAAGGAGAGGAAGTGACTCGTAGAAATCTAATTTTAGATCAGAATTTTACGTGCAGGCTCGACTTAATCTATTTTTAGTTCATTTACATTTGTAACTTTGGTTATATTTAGGAGAGTATCGGTACCACAAATACTTCTAAATAGTGATCAACTCGAACACCTTAGTTAATCTAAGAGAGCGGTTTTGGGTTTCCCATTCTGAAACCCATTGGAAATACGGACAAATCGAAAATATATATATATTAATATATATTATATATATATATTTGAATTTTATTTATTAGCGAAATTAAAACACGAACTCATAGAGGTATCACACTTTCAAATCGGAATAAAACTACCCAAGCTATGGAATATAGAAGTGCAGTTTTGGGTTCCAATTCTGAAACCCATTTGAATTAATGGAAAAATCGAAAATGAAAATCGGTCAAATTTTTGACCCACGTTTAATTGATATATTTGAATGTAATTTATTAGAGAATTCAAACACGAATTCATAGAGGTATCAAACTTTCAAATCGGAATAAAACTACCCAAGTTATGGAATTTAGAAGTGCAGATTTTGGTTCCCATTCAGAAACCCATTGGAAATAATGATAAAATCGAACATGAAAATGGGTCAAATTTTCGACCCTCAATTAATTGATATATTTGAATGTAATTTATTAGAGAATTCGAAAACGAACTCATAGAGGTATCACACATTAAAATCGGAATAAATCTACCCAAGTTATGGAATCTAGAAGTGCAGTTTTTGGTTCCCATTCTGAAACCCATTGGAAGTAATGATAAAATCGAACATGAAAATGGGTCAAATTTTTGACCTTCAATTAATTGATATATTTGAATGTAATTTATTAGAGAATTCGAACACGAATTCATAGAGGTATCACACTTTCAAATCGGAATAAAACTACCCAAATTATGGCATCTAGAAGTGCAGATTTTGGTTCCTGTTCTGAAACCCATTGGAAATAATGAAAAAATCGAACATGAAAATGGGTCATATTTTTGACATACGTTTAATTGATATATTTGAATGTAATTTATTAGAGAATTCAAACACGAATTCATAGAGGTATCAAACTTTGAAATTGGAATAAAACTACCCAAGTTATGGAATCTAGAAGTGCAGATTTTGGTTCCCATTGGAAATACTGAAAAAACCGAACATGAAATGGGTCAAATTTTTGACCCTCGTTTTAATGAAATATTTGAATGCAGATTATTAGAGAATTCCACCACAAATTCTTAGAGGTATAACACCTTAAAATTGGGATTAAACCACCCAAGCTATGGAACATAGAAGTGCAGTTTTGGGTTCCCATTCTTAAGGCCATTGGAAAAATCTAAAAAATGGATTATGAAATTGGGTCAAAATGTTAAATCTAGTTTAAAATAAAATAATAGAGCACAAATTCATAGAGGTATGCCTCTTCTAAAACGGGGTACGATAACCTAAGGTATGGAACAATACTTTTAAAATTTACTTTGATCCTTAGTGCGCACCTAGGCATCCTATGGAATGTTGGGTTTCAATTGGTTCTAGCTCTTACGGTTTGATATCTTGAGATTTACTAGATTTATTATTATAACTAGATATTCTAATTTTTTCATCTTGGGTACACTCATAACGCTATCTTTTAAGAGCTCCCACATTAATTTCGAAACGCTTGCCGCCTGGTCCAGACAAATTCTACGTACACACGAAATCGTTTGAAAATATTTTCGTTTTCGGCTTTTCGTTTCAGTCGAAACTTGGGCATCTCTCTGTGCACAGCTCATCGCTCGGAGGATCGAATATAGAAACAAACAACAATTGTTAAAAGATATTTCTCATATATTGTCAAATTGTTAGTGTAAGTTTGCATAACTACTGCACTCTTTGTTGTGTTGTCTTCAGAAGTGCCAAAATGATTGACACTATTTTAACTGAAAATATAATTCAACAAAGAGGCATTTATTTATAGAAAGGTGCCTTGCGGTGGGCCTTTGTTTGTATTGAAGAAAGCAACAATGTGCGCGATATACATAACACCAAATCTTCCCCCTTCTCTTCTAGCGCCTAGAAAATGGTCAACGAGCTCAACAAACCCCAAAATGGGGACAATGCCGCCTTGAGTGAGGTAAGCTGGTATTGAAAAACCGAGTACATTTCATACTTTGGTTTATTAAATAAACTTTTTTTTAATATTAAAAAACATTTTTCAAAAATTTAAAAAAGGTTTATGACACACCATTATTTTATGTTTGGTGATTCATGTAGGGAAAACGTTTTTGGGCTCTTTGTGATACACAAAACCAAGACAATACAATATTGTACACCAGGAAGCAAATGCATCCCATATTAGCTAGATTATTTTTGTTAGATATAGAATAGAAAACATATCTTTTGTGTTTCTGTGATCCCATGGACGTCTGATGTCGGTTGGCAGCACTTTATTAATAATTTATATTTGCACATATGTAAAGCATTTTCAAGATTAATTTATATTGTGTAAAATATAAATAATTAATTATAATTTTATAATCCATGACTAATAACCTCTATATATATCTCTAGCGCCTGGCAGCCTCCAACCGGCAGCTGCAGGAGATGCAGGAGGAGCACCGCCAGTTGCTCGAGGAGATGGAAACGTTGCGTTTGAGAGCCGCGGAGCTTACAAGGTTGAATGCCCAGCGCCAACATCTAAGACAGTCAACCGAAGAGGTAGAACTGTCCCAGGAATCCACGTCAAGCCGCCAGGTGGTAGCTTCAGCGGAGGTTACAAGGCGCCAACATCTAACACAGTCAACCGAAGAGGTTGAACTGTCCCAAGGATCCACGTCCAGCCAGGTGGTAGCTTCAACGGAGCCAGAACCACTGCCCTTAGTCTCGTCCCCTCCTGCCGAACCCACCAACCAGGAAGCTACACCAACTGTCCAGGAAGAGGACGAAGAGGACAATGAAGAGACGGCCAGTTACCTGCAGGCCAAGCTGAACGAGATCGCTAACCTGAAGGCTCAGTTTAAGCGTGTCCAGAACATGGTGGACACCACCAAGATGATAGAGCAGCACATGTCCACCAGGCAGGTGGTTCAGACCAGTTCCTCGGTTCAGAGCAGTCGGCAAACCACATCCTCTGAAGTTCGAGTGGCAAGTCAAGAGGCTGAGGAGACTGTTCAGGATGAAAATCCTTCAACGAGTTCTGCTCCCGACAACGCTGAGCTCCTGAATTCCATGCTCAACATGTTCACGGATTTCACCAGCGACCTGCGCGGTCAGGCGGAGAGCCTCAGGGCGGAAAGGGATCGCATCAGGACCCTCAAGGAGGACATAATCCAGCGCAAACAGGGAAAATAAGCCATATTAGACTTCAATCAAGCACTGGTCCTAGTCATATAATGTCAGAAATCAAAGAATGATATTATAAAATTAAAGTATATAATAGCCAAGTGTATATTTACTTTACAAATACATAGTTATCTCTTAAATTGTTTGATTTTTAAGGCAATAGGTTAGGTAGGTAGGCAATAGTCTAAACGTTATAATGGAGCTTTTGTTGTTTTGAAAGTTAAAGTGAAAAGGTCCAGATACAAAATAGCAAAAAAAAGTCCTTAAGGAATAATAAAATAAAATAAAGATAAGCAAGAAGGTTTACAAACCAAAATTTAGATTTCTTAAATAAGTTTTTAACGGTCGAAAACTAATTTTAAAATCTAGCAGTTATTTCGATATCGATAGACCGATTGGCAGTGTGACCGCATCTCAGTAGGCTTTTTGGCGAACTGCCAGCCCTGGTCCGAAACAGCTGTCAGAGTGCGCAAAGCGAAAAACAAAAAGGAGAGTTTTACAAGATTTTTTCTAGCGTCGTTTTTTTGTACGCAAATATATATTTTTCAAATGGCGCCGCCGCCCAAAGTGATTGCGGATCAGGGCAGCGCCAGTGCCCGCAGCGGCAGCACCAGCAACAACAACAACAATTCGGTGGGCGGGGCAACCGGCGCCGTGCCCAAACAACAAACGCCCCTAAATGGAGCACCTGCCTCGGTAGCAAATGCATCCCCATCCACGGTGACCAGCAGATCGGCGCGTTCACGACGGCAGCAGGAGCACCTGGGCGAACCGGACCTGGACTTTGCGGAGCCACTGCAGCGGGAGACGCTGAAAACACTGAACGTGAGTTAGCCTAGCCGCCCGAAGAGAAGACACCAAAGTCCCTTCTCTTCTTCGATTTATAAATACACTTTGCACTCATCTCGGCCCGCAAAGATTCTTTATCCAATGGTTCAGTAGCGAAAGCGAACGCAACCACAGCGGACAACGAATTTCGATCGGCCAGAGAAGTGCCTCTCCCTCTATATATATATATATCTCAAAAAGATATATATATAGACCTTAAACGAGCAAAATTAGCGCCATACTCGTGATAGTACTTCTTATCTTTGCCTGCTGTTACTTAAAGGATCTTCTCCAGCGCGCACGCATCAGCAACGGCAAGAATCGACCTCCGGCAGATCAGCAGCTGTCGAGCAAGGAAACCAAGTCAACTGCCCAGCAGCAACAGCAGCGTGAGACACTGCGTCAATTGGCCGCCGAGCAGAGCAGCTACGAGTCAGCAGGTTATTATTCATAAAGTTTAAGGAATACACATCTCATTGAGCAATTTCCAATATCCGTACCTGGCCCAGCGATCGGCGGCATGGCCCACACAAATATCGGTGCGCCAGTTCATGTTCTATAAATAAGACGCGAACGAAAATAAACGCCCACTGAGATGATGTAGTCCACAGCCCACTCTTTGGCAATAGACCTAAACCTCCATACTGATCTTTGGCTATTTTCCATTATAGAGCAATTGCAGGAGCAGCAGCAGCGCTACCGATTCCCCGTGCGTCCCGTCCAGAGGGTTCAGCACCAGCCGTCCTCGTCATCTAATAGCTCGGGCGCCCCCTCATCTTCGTCGGCCTTGCTGCGTTTGCGTCAGTCTACGCCCCCGAATGCCACAGTAGGTGTGGTTATACCAAACGCCACTACCAGCAACGGAAACGGACATATAAGTGGCCCTGAGGAGCAGTCCACACAACTGACCCCCGCTGGACTGCACCAACTCATTCAACGACTCTTTGGAGTGAACCCTTTGGCTCCGAGACACGAAACAGGTCGCTCCCAGGTTGATGTGCTGCGAACCCTGCTCGGGCTGGACGAGAACTTGAACAGCAATAGACAACAACAAGGTGTAAACCTAGTGGAGGTGAGTTCTATATCTCTTTATCAGTTAAGCCTTAGGAGAAATAATATCGAGAGATTTATTCAGTAATCTTTGTGGTAGAACAGATCCATTCAATTTCTAAAAAACAAAATTTATATTACATCTACCTCTGTGGCCTCAGCTCAACAACATGGTGCATGAGATCAACCCAAACGCAGAGCAGGAAGAGGGCGTAGTAAATTCGACCAGCTTGGAAGATGTTGCATTAAGCGAGGTATGTTTGTAAACAAAAACCTGTTTATATAACCTCTGGAACTCAAACTCCTTTTACCTTGCAGATGAGCGACAACCGTGCCCAGTCCATCCAGTCGCTGCACAGCGTCCTGGAGACCCCTACGCCTGATACCACGCCCAGTTTCGACGAGCTGCAGCAGCGCCTGGAGGCCTCCAACAGGAACATGCAGCACCTGCAGGACGAGCAGGCCAAGTTGCTGCACATCCAGAACATGGCCAAGTCCCACCTCACCGAGATGGAGCAGCTGCGTCAGCAGGCTGATCGTCTGCCCCACAACAGCAACGGAGGAGAGGCCCCGAAATACGAGTCCGTGCAGCAGGTGCAGAATGATATGGCCTCGCTGGTGGGTCGCATGAAGAATCTCACCGCCTTCATACACAACCAGAACGAACTGAGCACTGTGCTCGGCGATGATGGTCCCGAGATCCTGGCCGAGCAGCAGGCACTTCAGGAGAAATTGGAATCGCTGCGCACCCAGCGCGAGGATATGCGCAACCTGGTGGATGAACTGAACAGCATCAACCGTACGGCTAGGGAGTCGACTAGGCCCATAAAGGAAGAAACTCCCACGCCTCCTCCAAAGCCAGCTCCTGCCCCAGTGCCGGTTAAAGAGCGTGTGGTGCCAGTGGAATACCAGAGGAACGTACCCATCATGCGGCAGGAGGCGGCAAATGCTGCTCAGCGGGCACTTCAAGCCCAGGCGATGATCAACCAGAAGACGGCGGATATAGAAGCCCTCAAGGCTCAGATGGCCCGGCTAAAGGGAATGCTAAACACTGTTAGCCAGATCGAGGAAAGTACCCCCAGCATGGGTGCCTCCTTGGAGCGGCGGAGTGAGGAGAGGTCCAGCGTGGAACGTGAGTTGCCTGAGGAGATTTCGAAGCGCGTTTTCGAACTTAACGATTTTACCTCTGAACTGCGGGCTGAAGCAGCTAGTCTGCAGAAGGAGCGCGACCGTATCTTGGCCCTGAAGGCGGAGATCGAGCGCCGCAAACAGCAGGCGGCCAGTGCAGTTCAGTTGGGCGATGATGCACTCAAAAGAAGTAGTCTTACCCCAACCCCCACACCCTTGAGACAGCATCAGGAAGAGGAGGAGGAGGAAGAACCATCTGAGGTGGATACTTCCCTTCAGGCCACGCCCACGAAGGAACAACTTCGCAACGAACTGCGCCTGCAGTGCGAGCGCCTGCGCAAGGAGTACGAGCAGAAGCAGCGGGAACTGGAGCAGCGCTATGTGGCCAGCAACAATACCACCTCGGAGGCGGATGACGAGGGAAACGACGACACCGACAGTGACAAGTACTTCGCCAACGTACGTACCGCCTCCTCGGCGACGCTCAAGCGGGCTGCGTCCGCCAGCACGGTGGTGGAACAGCGACGCGGTCAGCAGCCCAACATACCCCAACAGCAAGCTCCGCCGCCGCCGGCTCCTCCGTCCACCCTTAACGAAGATGATCTGAACGCAACTCTTGATACCCTGTCCTTGGGCAACGACAGCTTGCCCTCAAGCAGCAACAGGTCGCAGTACATGCCGCCGCCGATGGCTCCAGTGCCAGGAATTTGGGGTATGTTTTTCCTTTTCTTATAAATAATATATAAATCTTTTTAAAAGTTTTAGTACTAGTCAAAATTAAAACATACATTTTGAATTAGCTATGATTACTAGTCTGATAACTTATTTGTGTGTACCATTCAATAAGAAAATCTTAAAAAACGTATTAGAAAATTTGCAAAAACAGTTACCATATTGAAAATGTATATATTCTATATTCCTTATTCGCTTAGCATCGCACAACCCCGGAAATGCGTGGCACGGACAGCAACCGATCTATGGACCGGCTGGCTCCAGCACTGGGACCGAGTTCAAGCCACCGCCAACAGCTGCGCAGGTGGGTTCTTCGAATGCCTCCGGATCGAACACCTCGAGCGATGCCGTGCTCCTGCAGCAATTCATGCAGACGCAGCAGATGTTGATTAACTCGGTGTGCCAGTGCAACCAGACGCTATGGCATCAGCAGCGGGAGATCGACAACCTCAACAACCAACTGCATACGGTAAGAACGATCTCCAGATTACTACGATTCACACGATCTAATATAACCTTTTTGTTACGTAGCTCCAGGATCGATTTAATGTGGTAGCTTGCCAGGATCATAGCTTCGGCTTGCGCTCAGAGTCGGTGCCGCCTCCGAATCTCCCAGTGGGACCCGGAATGGGTCAGATGCCCAACAATCTGTGTCTTGGGAATAGTCGGGCCCAGTCGGAGCAGCTATTTAACTTTGGCGCCCACCAGAGCGCCTTTAGTAACTACCAGCGCAGCTGTCACCGCACTGGCAGCGAATCTCATCATCATCAGCAGCAGCAACACCAGACGCAACCATTTCTCAACAATGCCGCTCCGCCACCACCGCCGACGCACTACAACAATGAGACTCCATTGTCGCCGCCTACGTACCGCTCAAGTCCGGGTCCAATCTTTATGAACCATCACAACAACACGATCCACCAGAACAACTCGAATCTGCGAACCCAGAACCAGCATGCCAACAACCTACACTCGTTACCCGAGGGAGCTGCTGGGGGAGGAGCACCCGGTGCGGGTATCACCCTGAACAACCAGGTGCCACCCGGTAACCGGGCCAACAATTACTGGGACAACTTCCGCAGGTAATACTATAACTTTGGTGATGGTATTTTATTTTATTCGGGTGTTTGGTGAAAAGGGGTTACAAGCAATAAAAATTAAATAAAACCATTTTGTCTAAAGTCAATTTTCAATTCTGTGCTTCGGTAAGTGCAACCAGTCGTTGCAAGCAATTGTTCCATTAACAGAGTTGAAAGTGACTAACCCAAGATTAACACCAAGTACTAACTACTCCTTTTTCCGATTTGGTATAGAAAAACTTTGTTATGTTTGAAATAAACAAGAATTTTATTTTATAAATTGT